TGAAAAACAAAAGAGCATGACTCGCCTGGGCAAAGTGTGGTCACGATATAGTGCCATTAAACGCATGATTCACGGGACTTGAACAAGGAGGCATTCACGAAAAGGATGGATCATGTTCGGACATCTCGCTCCGTCAAATCGTTAATTATCAACGTCACCGTCGCGACAATTCTCCAGGAGATAACTTTCTTCCCGCTTTTCAGGCGACAGTGAGTTCAGAAAGTGACGTCCTTGGAACCAGCCAGAATGATTTCAGCAAGAGGTGATGAGCAAATCGCATTCCGAACATTAATCAAAAGACCCCGTTTTGTCGGAAGCACCCTAGTACGCCCGTTGTCCTCAACTGCAAACATTTCTCCATGCTGTAATGAGAGCAAGGGTACTAGTATTACGTTGAGTCCAACAGGTCCTCATCAGTGATTTATATACATTTAATAAAAAAATAAATCCAACCGGCATTTTACACATTCATGTCTCTTTGCCCAAATAAACAATGCATTCCGTATACGGTCGTATTTCACGTGTCACCTCGTGTTAAACTCGCCTTTTCAAATCCTCGCATAGGTAGGGCAGGTGCCTTGTCGACTCTCATTGGCCAGTAATTTACGACATTCCACCAGAGTAATTTTCATGACCGAACGATGTGATAAAAACAATTTCTACCAAGGACACTGAACCGCCTCTGCTGTTTCTGTTGCTAGATCTGGACACCTTTATTTCTTTTCCTTTTTTCCTGAATGGGCCCAGGAGGGATGAATCTTAATATCACATCGACCATGCAATGAGCTAAATGGAAATGTACTACATAATGTAAACGATTTTTTCTCCTTACAGTTGGCAAACTTGGCTGCACAACCTCCGGCTGGAGCAAGAACCACATTACCCCAACTTTGATTCCTACTCCAACCTGCATATAATAATGACCCCTTTCCCGTATAATTTCAGTGGGTCTACCGACATGTGCCCTATTTTGAAGTTTAGCAAATGCTCTTAGACCCACAGTAAAAATAAAATTGGGAAAACGTTTCTTCACTCTAAGTTATAAAGCAAAGTTAAATATGAAGCTGATCCATTCCCAGCATGTTCTTGCAAAAGAGTAGAGACTTTGCTTTCAGCATGGAGGTAGGAAGAGAGCTTTCCTTGAAACTCTGGGCCGGAACACACATTTATTTTGTCAGGGAAGATACCTTCGAGCGTTTTCATTGTTAAAACATTTCAGGTGTGATAATTTGCTTCAGTCGTGAAATGTATTAAATTATGAAGCAATTACCAGGAGTTTATTTAAACCTGTGACCGTTTTTGTTTTGAAAAGGAGTATTTAATTTATTTGCGCATGTGTGTATTTATGCTTTCGACAACTACTGCGACTCCTCTCTGGGTTGCCAATTGTTATCATAAATCGATTTCGATTGTCCGTTTGTCGCAGCTACATTGGCATTATTTTCTCAACTCATTTAGAATCTCGTCTTATGGTTATCCAGTGTGCTGAAGTGGTGGGGCAATATCGGCAAATGTGATGTCACAGCTTGTGCTCGAACGATGCCCTACCTTGCCCAACGCCAAAATGCCCTGTAATAACCGCCAGCCAAGGGAAAACGCACGGTGCGGAACTAAAATGAAATTTCACGGCTTTTGGTTTCCAACAAAATTTGAAATACTTCTAAAAACCACACTGCCGAAGCCGACCTTTCAAGTGCCGTCTTTCCTGTTTTTCTCTCCCTCTGGGAATTCCGGCACAAGCTGGAAGGGCACAATGTAGATACATGTACATGAAATACCCAACCCAAGTATGTCCATTTTCTTCGTCATTAGCCTAAGAGTCAGGAAAATTTTGTCAAGGTCGTGGTCGTCAGCTGCACCATCTTTGAGACATGACCGGAACGAGGGCTCAAACATTTTTTTGTGTGGGCGTACTTCGTGAACTTTAATTTTATGCCCTCCTTTGTGGTGTGCAGGGTTTGCCGAAGAACGATAAGCTTGGTGCCCTTTTCTGCAAGCAAAGTGGAAAACAAACCTGCTCCATGTCGAATATTTTTGTGTCAAATTTTCGGTGTTGGGTGAAAATGGTTTGAAGATAACACCACATGGTTATTTATCTGTCATGCTTGATCAGAATCAATTCGTGAGAGGAATGTGCCGTTCACCTTTTTCGAACAGTATTGGGAATGCTCGGACCATCTACTGGAGAATGAACTTTAATCCAGTTGTAATCTGAACCAAAAAAAATAGTGTCGCTGAACGGGGGGGGTGTGGTGAAGGGGGAGTGGGTGGGGTGAAGGGGATAGAGCCAACCTCTGCTGAGGCACTTAATAAGTGCAGATTTTGTCGTCAAATGGGAGCCACTGCCGTCACGGTATGATGCACGTGGTATTTTTTGGAGCTCTGTCGGGTTTATTTAGTGAATCAAGGCTAAGAGGTGAGCCGTTGTGGTCTCTTTTCATATCTTTGGGAAAACTATGCACAAGTAATCAAGTGCAGGTGGTTTGGGATGCTAACACTATATTTAATGGTCATTTTTAAAGGTGAACAATGCTGGAATAAAGCATTTTCGTGGCCAGCATGTGTCCAGGAAATCGGGTCTTTTTTGTAAACCTCCTTGGTCCGCAAATGTTTGCTCTTTTAAAGAAATTATTAATGTAACAGAAGGGGATCATACACCATTGCTGTTATCTTGACTGTAATGATGAATGGGTATAATTGCAGTGTCATCTCTTCAAAAGTGTTTCTTGCAATTTCACCTCCCTGTTCTCTCCGCCCCACCCCCTAGAGGGGACTAAAATTGCAGACACCGCATACCCAGTGGGTAGGTCTGTTCAATGTCCACAAGGGTGGAGCTTAATTTCTCTGTACAGGTTTGCGTATACATTCTACCTCACATGGCTGAGTAAATTATCGAGTGTACATGTACGTAACGGGAAGCCATCAATTTTGAATCAATGCTCAGTTTGGGTCCAAGCCAGACTCGTATTTCGAAGCTCACTGGAACTATAAGATTGATAATTCAGATATGCTATTGCTAAGTGTTTGACTACGTGTACATGTAGGCTAGGCCCCCATGTAACGGCATGTGGTGTACAGTACTGTACATGCAAGTGCATGTACATGTACAAGCGATCGGCTTCGACACTGAAGAGGCAGAGATCGGTCAACGGAAATGGGAGTAACGCGTTTTTGCGCTAATGTGCTTGTTTGTGCGATTGGGTGGTTTTCTCAATGTGTTCAGAATGCGCCAATCAGTTATTCCTATAGCCCATGCCCAGTACCAACCTATCCGGGAACGCGCGCGCGCGTGCGATAGTCCCATCAGCGCAGCCTTACATTGGTTCACGCGCGCTTTTTTCCCGGAAGACCTTTGCTTTTGGATTACAGAACTGGCTCGTTGTATTGATAAATTGCGGGAAAATAGGATAGGAGTAGGTCCAGGAGTAGGTCTGCACTGTTAGTTGGTTGCACAGCCACTCATCATTTGGGAGTGACAAGTTCCCAGTTTTACTTGAGGTCAAGCTGATAGATGCTAATTGTAGCTCTGGGTTTCTTAATCAGACTTTGCAGTAGTCATTTCTGATCAGTAGCTTAAGCTTTTGCCATTTGCAAGCTCAGCTCGCATGCGGTACTTCTAAAATCGGAATTTATAACCCGAACCTAGTTCAGTTGCGTTTAACAAGCAAGTTCGTCAACTCAGGTATTTGAACGACAGACGTCACGATTGCTGACGTCATGCAACTTAATTTGCATTTGTTTCATGTAAAGCAGAAATCAGCCTGTCAGACTGAGCATGGTGGACTTCAAAGTAATGAAGTGGTACGAAGGACTATTGTGACTGTGGGAATAGTTTATTATGAACAGCTAGGGACCTATGGCCTTTCTGTTTTATCACGCTGAATAATTGCCTCGTGTTGGCTACGTGTTTCAGAATAAACCTCTGCGTACAATGTACAGTTCACTGCAATTTTAATCAGATTGAAGCAAGCTTTTTCTTGGATTTGGTCCCATGATCGAACTTTTATAAAATGAAGCCATTCACGCACTTGATATGTAACTTTGTTGGTACCGCTAAATTGTTTGGCATTAGTTTTTGAAGGCTTAACTTGTCAGGGTTGCTGCAGTAGGGTTCGTCTGGAGATGGATGGAACAAAAGTATTTTTTGCCTAGCCTGGGGCGCTGGGGTCACGCACTGCTGCGAGACTGTCACGAAATAAAGGATGTGACAACACGCTAGATCTCGCCGCGAGATGGATCATCTGCGTTGTTTTCTATAAAGAAAGTGCGGTATTGAATAGAAGTTGGACAAAGTATTCCGTGACTTAGCGAACAGTTTGAAGAGATCGTAAGGCTATTTCAGCAACGGGGGGGGGTGCTGGCAGCTCAGCAACAAAATAAAAACCACAAAATCGCATTGTCCCCCTACAAGGCGACCTTTCCATTTATTGTTATGAAATGAGTTTAACCTCATTTATTATAAATGTAAAAAAGGCAGGTTTACGCACGAGATACGAAATACAGTTTCGAGTTGGCGGTTTGTTCTTTAACCGTTCAAGCAGAGCGGTATCCGTTCCATCACAGTACAAAAACAAAATTAAGTTTTGTTGCATTTTCATTTATATAGGCCCTATTCTCAAATACGTCCTAGCGATCGCTGTCGTTATTTCTGTATTTCATGTTACATGGTAGCTCAAGATTTGAAGTCTTCATGCCAACAAATTGTGCATCAATCCATTTCACAGAATATTGCAATGCTTGTGTGTCCAGAAATGGGTCACATGCATGCTGCCTATTACCAGCTATGCATGTTGAGAGACGCACACTCCACGGGGGAATTGTCGTGGCCCGGGGATCGGGGGGGGAAGCGGTAATATGCACATCATTTGGCGGGAAATTAGAGGGTACATATTTAACGCAAACCTCAGCCAGTCGGTAATTGGAATCAGTCCGATTTGCCTCGATGTGTTCCAGGGTAATGTTTCTGAATGTCTCTCTCTTATGTGTGACTTCCCTGATAGGGGACATGGCCATGTGTGACAAGGAAGGGGAAGTGGTGAGTTTACCCATTCTGCTGGGTAACCCATGCATACACTGTGTATGCAAGGTGAGTACTGTTATCTTCTTCTTTTAAGCGGCCAGGGTTCTGAAATCTTCCAGCAGACTTTACTTAAAAACAGCAGTTTTCTTTCTGCTACGTGAGAGCCCTTGAGACTTGAAAGAAGGCCATTTCGAAATTGTAGGGCCCGGTATCAACCAAACTTGATTCGGAATGTTTGACCATGGGGGGTTGACCCAGTCACAAACCACACACCTTTTAGTCCGCTTCATGAATGATGAGGCAGTGTTGACACCTCTTTTACGGAACCGGTTGGGTTAATGCCAGTGGAAGTAAAAGTGTGGAACCAAAAATCATTGACACCACAGCGAGCACCTGTTTTGCTCATTGTCCAAGTCTCTTTGTCCAAGGTATTTACGCGTTGCTTGGCCTACCTTTTCTGTTGCATTTTTTGACAATTCTTTAAGATTGCCATTTCTAGCTTCGAGTAACTGTGGATAAGTCGCAGCAAAAAATAAAATTCCATTTTAAAAACTGTGATGATTTCAACATACCTCCTTCACTTTCTCAAATAACTCCCTGGGCTTGCGGTCAAGATTTCTTGTGAAAAATAAACCCCAGTTGGTCTTAGCACGGAGCGTTAACGCGTCTGGATGCCGCACGACCTGTTTCCATTCTAAACACAGAGAAAGTACATTTCCACCCTCCCCTTTTTTGCGGCTCCTCTATTCCAATTTGTTAATGGATTGTGAGAGAGCTGCGGCTCCAAGGTTGCCTTGAGGCGTTCCTCAATCGCCTAGCTGTTGTTGAGCTGGGGAAATATGGGTTACCACTTTCGTCCCTTGAGCAAGCTGTACCATTTTGGAGCTGTCACCAAATGCATTTCTCTGACCTTGTTTTTCTGGACAGTCATTTATTAATCATTGTTGGATGGTTTGATACATGTGGGGGGGGGTTCAAGATGGTGCCGGGGTTGATTTTTTTCCGGACGTCCGTGAAGTGTTTTTAACTCGTGTGTTAAAACATATAGAGCGGCAACGCCGGAGTCACACGTGTGACTGACTTTTTTAGTGGACTGACTTTGGGGTTGCAAATAACACAAACCGACGCCAGATCAGAAATGAGTTAGTGGCACAGGAAAGCTTGACCTACATATCCATCAACCAGACAGCATAAACCATACACGTTTTAGTTGAACTAGCGAACTATTTCTTTTGGCGGACGAAACCACACGAGCTTGTGTTATCGTCACCTAAGCCTTGCTGCAGCAACTCGTTATGCCTAATCTCCATGTTATGATTTCGGTCCTTGTTAGCTTCGGAGATCGACATATTTCAGCAACGGACGCTGGTCATGTGGGGGTTGTGTTGGAGCTATGTCTTACATGAGTCAAGAGTGCTAGTCAAAAGAAGAGTCAACTAGACTTAGGGATTACCAAAAAACCAGAGCAAGCAAGAGGCGTCAGGTTGACTTAACAGTCAACGACCACCCGCGATCTGTTTTCCTTTTTATTTAATAGTTCGCATACTCTTCACATTCATTCGATTCTTGTCTGCATTTTTCAGACCTCAAAGTCCTGCAGTGTCATACCCGGGGCTGGCTGCCAAATCCCGGTGTATCGTCCCCCTAGAAAGCGCCTTCAGCAGCACTAATTGTGGGAGAGAGGGGCAGAAGATAATCGGATCAGTCTCTTATCAAGTCCTTTTTATTGTGATGATACCCATGTTGTCTCCTTTCTTCAAATCTCCGAATTGAAGATAAACAGACGGTGCGCTTTCTGACAGGATTTCCAATTCTCTGCTTTCAAATGCTCAGTTTTGCGAGTGTGTATGGGAACTCTGACGAGTAATCTCGACGTCACGCGTAAAGTTGGTTTGGAGATTCACTTTGTGTTCCTTTTTGGAGTTATAGGAAAAATCTTGTGGGTTTTGGATGACGACACTGCGACACATCACAGCATATCTTTTGCGAATTCTATTGGTGCCTAACCATGTGAAATTGCCCACATGTTGGATCTTTCAAATCTTATGTGATTTTTCCCTCACAGAATGGGGTCATAATATGTGAACGGGAAACTTGCCCAAAACTGGATCAGTGCGCCCTCATATTTACTTCACTTGGGAAAAGTTGTTGTGAAAAATGTAAAGGTAAGTAAAAATCATTTCAAGTAGGCGAAAATGAAACATTGGACCATTTCCCCAAATTACCGTGCAAAAACTTTGGTGTTAAAAACAACGCTTTTTCGTGTTGCACTTGACCACACCAAATTAGGTGTGTTACTTTATACACCTACAAGTGTTACAGTGCACTGGAGAGTGTTAAAAGTAACACCAACAGTGTTTAAATAACACCAACATTTTTAACACTGGTCAAAAGTGTTGGCATGGTCCTTTAATAACACCAGGGGTGTTCTCGGTTTTTAAAGTGTACCCTTTTCAACGCTGGCCTGTCAATTTAAAAGATCTACTTGGATAATGACGTTAATTAAAGGTGTTATTAATTGACAACATAATTCACGCGAGATGGTGCCCACAGTGCTGTAATGTGATTTGAATCCTTACTAAGTGTCATAATGATATCTGAGTTGAATCTTTAGCCGCAGTACTTTTCATTAGTATTCAGTATGTTCTAATTTTTTTTTGGTTGGAAAGTTTGTAGGTATAACGGAGATGAGTTCGTAAATGGTCAACAGTGGGGTGCACATAATGATCCTTGTCAACAGTTTGAATGTCGAGTAAGTTGATGGCTGAATAGAAAATGTAGAATGTATGCCGATACTATGCTTTTTCATATTTCATTTTCTCACCTGTTTTCGATTGTGATGTGGAATTTTGGGATTCTATAGTTTACACAGTGTTATTACAAACAGCAATGTTTACAAGCGGATCCGAATACGCCTGTATCAGCCCACTGACAAAAAAAATTGTAAGAATTTACAGCTCTGATGAGATATATTTTAAAAACTTTCCTTCTATGAGCCCCAAACTGGACCAAGAGAGGGCGCAATTTTCCTATAAACAGAGGCTCCTTTGGTTGGAACTAGACTGCGCTGGTTCTCAAACGACAAAGAAATGCACGTGTTACGGTCGCGTCGCAACCATCAAAATGAGCGCTGCCGACCAGCATGGCTCTTTTCAACCGATGGGGGTGCTTCTGCTCAAGGCAGATAAAGGCTGGGATATTCATCCATGAGTAAAATGATTGATATTCAGCCATTTCAATTGGATCTATTTCCGATGGTTGGATTCTTGCCAATAGGAAGGAGTTGTGACGGCCACCCGGAGGCAGTGTGAGGAGCCATCCTGTGCATTTCCCGTTACTGTACAAGGCGAATGCTGCCTTGTGTGCCCAGGTAAGGTCCCCCCCCCACACTCACACACATCTACACCCACCAGCCTGACTGTGCCTGTTCTTACTCCCGCCCATACCTCCTCACCCATGGAATACAGTCTCAGCATCAACATGGTCCTAATTATTTCTTACCTTGCCTCGTATCTACTCCCAGAAGTTGGGAAAAGTGAGGGGAGGGGTGGTTGTGGCATGTTAGCGCCAAGTTGTCGCGTGACGTCACCAGGCGTGATGTGGCGAAATTAATGGAGCGTTTCTGAACTCCAGACCCATCCAGTGAGACTATAATCAGACACACTTCGCCGGTAAGGACATTTCAACAGACTCTAGAGTGGATATCGTTTTTACTTGAAATAAAAATCATCCAACACCTCCTGGTCTAAATACAGTTCGATGTCGTCAAATAATGACGTGATCTTGTACAAGAGGCAATTAATGAAACGATTTAGCCATAGCAATCTAGTTTAGAGGCTCAGCTCTTTTACGACACCTTCAAATTTTCAAGAACAGATGCAGTTTTTTTTTCTGCAAAAGTAGACAGTGACCTATATTTAGAGACGTTTGGTTAGTGACGTCATCAGAATGGTGCTGTGTGACGGTACAGTGGCTTTTGAACGGAACGTTTTTATGAAAGCTTTTTGAACTATAGACTCCTTGAATTCTAGTATCGCTGTATGTTTATATTTGGCAGTGTGGGTGAAGAACCTGATGAACCTATTCATTATCACAAAGGCTTCTCTTTGTCGATTGGGATAAAACTTTATTCGTCCCAGCAGGAAGAAAGAAGACGTCTCTTTGTTGTTCTTGTGTTTTTTGTGATCTGATATATGACACCAGTTTGTTCGAGAATTTATCTGAAAAGGAATGTGTGGCGTGTTTGTCCGTCTCCAGATAGTGAAAATTCTCCAGAGCTTTCAGGAACATTCTGCTTCGTTTTAAAGGTCAAAGCCTTCCTGAAAAAGACGTATTAATCACTACGGTTGGCACGAACTGGACGGCTGTCTCGAATTCCTGTTGATTTTTTTTTTCTGATATGAAACATTCACAGCAGTGATGAGTTAATTGAAGTAATTTTGTCATGCGAAAAAGCACACAGATAGATAATGTATTACAAAGCGGTTATATGTACTGTACATATCTTCGCAGAGGGCAATAATATTAATAAAGCTGTTTTGGGAGAAGTGATGACATGCACAGGAAGAACTATTTTCTGCACGTTCATATAATCGAATGAATAAGCAGCTACAGACATAATTTATTCCTTTGTGGATAAAGCAAAGCCCAATTATTTTCCCCGACTATAAAAAGCTCAGCCCTTGGGGAACGTACCCTTGCCACCACATGTTCCCTGCGGTGCGGCAACCGCAGCCCCCCTGAACGCTTGAGATCTGTCAGTACTGTTACTTCATTAGCGAACCATGCGTTACCCTTTTTCCCTTGCAGAGTGCCTCTTTGAAGGCCGGCAGTACACCGAGGGAGCGACTATTAGGTCTACTGATGATGCCTGTCTTGAATGCAAGTGTAAGGTATGCATTTATTGTGCAGGTTCGCCAATTTTTATGCCAGATTTTTTTTCCTGTGTGCTCTTAAAGATATCGCACAATTCGTTAAGCCAATGAAGGCTGCGTCAATTTTTTTCAATTGGAGTATGTGTTATTGAGTTATGGTTTTGTACAGTTGTGAAAACAATCACAAATCGGGTAATCAGAAGTTAACAGACTGGATAATGTTATTTGAAGGATTCGAAAGCTGCAAAGGAAACTAGATTTTAACCATATTTGAAACATAGCTCGAGTGTTAAGAGACACTACCGCTTTTTTTTCCGTGGCCTCTTACAAATTGCAATCAACGGTTAGTCTTTTAAGCACAGTACCAAGGGGTTTCATCTGGCACCTATCTCCTTCATCAAAAGGGCTTTATGAATCACGTCCTCTGGCTCTGTGGCACCACGCAGACCACAGCGATATCCCCTTTCCACCGCGTGGAGCCACCCTAATCCTAGACCCTACAGTGCCCAACTTCTCACCGAACGTGTGCGAAAGTTCTTCTCCGTTGATCTCGTCGGATTCTCCTCACTTTCAAAAATCCTTCGACCTTGAGCAAGGGAGTTTTTTTAGGTCAAAATAATTTCTCTGTCAGCAGTAAATGTATTGAAGAAATCTTCCTTTTCCTGCCGGAAACAGAAATCTGGCCTAACATGTCGAAGACTCACGTGCCCGGTGCTGTCTTGCCCGCCCAATCAGCAGAAGACTCTGCCTGGGGAATGCTGCCCAAAATGCATAGGTAGGTAGGTCAAGGCACTTTGTCTGACAATCACTTAGGATTTGTCTTGCCTCTATCCATAGTGGGCCTGTACATGCACTCTTCATCTACTCGTAAACGAACCATTGAGGCCGTAACACAACAGCGCCTAGCTGTCATCCGAAATTGCCAGGCATGAGGCCTAGTGTTTGCATTTGTGTTATCTTTTGAAAGGAAACATGCTTTGAACATTTAGCTCAACTTGTTTTCAGACGCATTATTATGAGTTACAGCAATGAAAACAAGATCTAAATACTTCTTTTCATCGGAAGTACAAGAAAATCGTAGTGGTTCCATCCCTCAAAAATCATCAGGTTTGCATTACTTGTCAGAAATCGTCCTTAAAAATCACTTATTAACAAGAAGGAATGTAGGTCATTGCTGTTGGTCTAACAAGCTACTTATAATTATTAGCGAATCAACTAAGAATGGAGTTTTAGACTTTCATCAACGTGTAAATTGACGTGAAAGTGTAGTCATTAAGCACGAGCCGACTGCGTTCCTGGATGATTGTTTTTCCTGCATCTGCAATGCTACCGTACATTGTCGAGAAGGCGCCTAACTCCAAGGTAAATTCAGTGATTACTCCTAGCCGTTGAAAACTTCTCCTTTTAAGGGAATGAGAGCCTGTCATGCATGAGTTTCCCACCCTGATCTCACGGATTTGCTTACTACGAACGCCCTTTAATCCACAGAATTTACGCAAGATAAATTACAACATCTTTGATTTAATCGTTGAAAATGCCGCGCCGTTTTTCTCGGATTTTCACAAAGCAGTTGACTCAAACGTGAAACAAGTCAGTCGAATGTAAGTTGCAGTAAATATTATACACCGTAATCCGCCAATCTTGTGAAAATATGAAAAACAAAACAATGGTGTACACTACACCGTGAAGAATACTTCTAAACGGGTTCTTTATACACCCCATACTCTGTGAAGTATCGCTCGGTGTTGGATGGATAAAGTCACTAACCTTGTATCCACGAAGGGATTTTTTCTATCAAGAATAACATACTCTGTGAAGTATCGCTCGGTGTTGGATGGTTAAAATCACTAACCTTGCATCCACGAAGGGATTTTTTCCATCAAGAATCCCATACGCTGCGAAGTATCGCTCGGTGTTGGATGGTTAACCACTCCCGGCCGGGCGACCCGTTTTCGAGTACATAGGATTTATATGCAGAGCCGAGGAGCCCAGAACTGGGACAAAAGAGTTGGGCCTTATAACAAAAGACCGTGCTCAGCACAAAAGACTGAGCTGCTGGGCATTACCGACATTTTTTCGCTCTCAATAGTGCAGATAATCCAGCCTTGTTTTGAAACAGTATACCACGGTTTGAGGCATTTAGAGCGAGTGGATTACCACCGGGGACAAAAGCTCTCCACCACCGCAGCGATGAGCCGCACAGCACCGCTGCAGGCTAATCTGGCCCCTATTGAAAAGAGGTCAGCAGTGCACTGTGCCGGTTTCGGGAACAAAAGAATCTTCCGTAACACCGCACAATCTGGGCTCTTTTTCCAAGGCTGCAGGCCTGGCTGAAATATTCACATATGCGGCAAGGTATGAGACGGAGAGAACCCCCCCCCCCTGCTTTGTGTTGGTCATTGTCTCGCAGGAATCTGGGGAATTCCTTTCAGACATCTTGGGGGGATGTGTTAAGTAACAATAGTCTGGAATGTGGATAGGGATTGGACATGTTGGGGGGGGTACCCCTCGGTCTCATTTCTTGCTGGGTATAAATATTCAGGGTCAATGAATTTTACCTGTCAGCTTTTGAGTAATGCCCAAAGAGTCTTTAATTTTGATATAAACGGCCATTAAATGAAATGATGAATTTTTGAAGAATTTTGAAAGCGGAAAATCTTGAAAATGAGCCGGCATCTTGTCTTGCTCAAGAAAAACCACCCGGCAGCAAGTGCTTTTAAAGTCACTTAGCTTGTATCCACGAAGGGATTTGTTCCATTAAGAATTTTTGTCCTTTCACTGAAACATAAAAGCAAAGAATTTGCAAGGCAAAGCCTATGTGTTATTATAATTATTAAAATATAATAGAAACAGTTACCCTAATAATACAAACCTTGTGACGTCGAAAAGGTTTCATTCGAATCCAGGCTGTTTTTTATCAGCGTGCATGCCTACCGAGATGAAGGAAATGCCTTATAAAGTCAATACACTTTTTACACAGGAAATATTGAAAAATTCAATTATGAACGATTATAAAGGAGTTCAAGAGGCCTTGATTTATAAGTGTTTTTCACGGGCCTGTTGTGCTGTCATTTTTTTATCCTATTTTTGTCTTGTGGGCTATAATTGAGTATCGACACATGCATTATGCGGCTAATCTGGGGACGATGATTTCGTCTTCCTCCCCTGCAGCCCCCAGAAAAGTCTTCGATTTGGGCCACCGGTGTTTGTTCGGTTCAAGTGTGTTCGATGACGGACAGAGCGTCCTTGCGGAGAAGTGCACCAAGTGTGTGTGCCTGGTGAGTGTTTTGACGACTTGTATCCTCTGTTTTGAACCAGAGATCTTTATATGTATAGTTTCCAAGGCCTTAAAGAGCCGCTTGAATGTTTTGTCAATGTCAACCTTATATTTAATGGAGTCATCGGGGTTCAAGTTAATAAAAAAAGATTACCGCATATCCATGTAAGTTACTTGAAATCTTCCATTTGGATGAAACAAATGTGGAGAGTATTTTTTTAGGTTGTGGGGAATTCCATTTTTTCCCCCAGACTCGAAACCTGCTAGATACACGCTACTGCATGGACATAAGTCTATACGGCTGTGTGTAGCAGTGTCGTAACTCAGTATGTACATGTACATGTATGTGCACCCCCATCGGTATCGTAGCCCAGTCTACCCCTAGCCCTTTCCCGTGACCTCTGTCGTGTGAAATCTTTCAATAAACAAACAGATATGGATTCCCTGTTTACTAGCTTCTTCGTGGCCCCTGTAACGGAATGTGTGCACCCCAGGTGCCCCAAAGAAGTTTCACCCCAGGTACATCACTGGATGTTCGTGGTTGGAGTTCCACTTTTGAGAGCTCCGTTCACTTCTCCTTTTCGTTTGCTGTACAGGACTCCACGGTGGTTTGCCAGAGGACTGTCTGCCAGTCAGAGCTGGACTGTCCTGTGGCAGAGGTCATCCACAACGAAGGCGAGTGCTGCCCGAAATGCAAACCCAAATCATGTCGGTATGCTGGAAATGTATATCAGGTAAAGAAGTCGAAGAAACCTGTATATTCTCTAGTGGGACATATGCCTCCCCTTAGCACCTGTATCCTCCCCCTTTTGACAACTTTAACACTTTTGAAAAGTAACAGAGCACGGCACTGTTTTGAAGAAGTATGACCCAACCTATACTGAGTGCAGCACCACTCCCCCAGTTTCCCAAGAAGACTGTCCCTGCAAAGTGTACTACAGAAAATACGCTACTGTTCAGTGTCAACGAAACCCCAGTTCACCCCTCAGTTGCAGGTCAATTCTAGTAAAAACTGTCACAACTTTGGCAAGAGTTATTAAGTGCAGTTACTGGTTTGACCAACTTCATGCAAGAATTTGAGCAACAATTCTACGTCGTGTTGCAGGCATGTTGAAATATATGGATACAGTTTTTATCTTTAAACTATTGCAGTCATCATAGCGGTCAGCCTATACAATTGTTTTTGTAAGGAAAAGGGCAGAGGCACAGCACAAAAGAATTTTTAAAGCGTAACAAAGTCTTTCCTTCTTCATTCAGCCACTTATTGATTACGTCCAAATATCACAACAGCAAAACGGAAGTCCAGACCGCGACCGCACAATGAGTCGACTGTGCCCACCTACTTACACGAACGGAAAGCAGCCTTTCCCATGTGGTCTCGATACGCGGTATTAAATCGCGTTTAGACGGCTGCAAGAGCGCAAAATATCGTCCTGGTGGAAGGCAGTGGAGAAATATGTATTTCAAAGGTTATCCGTGACCGCCAGCCTTGTTTAAAGGTTCACCGGTACCCCAAGGCTAGCAAAACACCCGGATGTGAAAGGCGGACGTGCCATCTAAACAAAACCTAGAATTTTCGGAAAGCATGAAAATCGAATTCCCTCTGAAATACCAGTGCGATTTTCTTATTGTTTTGTAATGGATACCAAGGCATTGTGGTGGATCTTTATTGGATTGATGTAGGGAATTTCGTATCCCACACGAATACCCATTTTTGCTTTAATTGCAGGAAGGAGAGATGTGGGCGCCACACGCCTGTGAATCGTGTCAGTGTGTGGGTGGCGAAACGGTCTGCTCAACGGAAACATGCCCATCTACATCAGATAGCTGTCCCAAGGTGGGCTAAGTCAATCACAAAAAAACACCTTTGTGCAAATGAAATCGTGAAGATATTCTCCGTGCCACCCATTCTCACCCGGCTACCCAAAGGGTACTGGGATCCCCGGCACTGATTATTGAAACCACCTCCGTTCTTTGTCATGTCTTCAATACATGTACTTATAACAGTTCCATAAGAATAAGCCATTGGCTTTCCCTTGCACCCGGTAGCGTGTTGGGCCCCAGGAACTGGGCTACGGGTTACCGAGCGCCAACTCTATCTCCCCCCCCCCACGTCGGCTGATGTTTAAATGTCAAGGTGTTAAACGATGCAATACTTAATTGATTCTGACACTTTAAGTCTCTATATTGCAATCGTATGCCCGCAACCAATCCACGGCCGAGCTTTTAAATCCATATTAAACTTTTCAGCTTGGCAATTTTATCCTCGACTCAGTTCTATTAACAATGCCACAGTATGTAGTACTGAGGTTAACACTGAAAACAGGTCACTTGTTTCGTTTATTCACTTTAATTCTTTTTGTCTCTTAGAACCATGTTTTACGGATACCTGAAGGCGAATGCTGTCCCGAATGCATAGAGAGTAAGTTGTATTGGATGATAATTTGAAATCCTTAAGTGCTGAAAACATATGGGATTATCTATTTTTATATCTTCTATTTTACATCTAAATACACAGCTTTACGAGTTAAAATGCACTGGATAAACAGGATGTCAATTGGGGTACTAAGTCACAAGAATATAGAAGAGTAACAACTTGTTAAAAGGCAGGAAAAAAATGTCCCAGCAGGGGCCGGATCCAGGATAATTAATGGATGGTGGCAGAGAAGAGCAAACGTTCATGTATTTTTTTCAAGGGAGACAAGTTTAGGTGCCGATGTCAACACGTAACAAAACCCAAGGCTTGGGCAGTAAACCGAGATTTTCAACAGTATTGAAATGTCGATTAGAAGACGGTTTTTCCTGACAGAGGAAACTTGGAATTTTCCGCAGTAGTTTGCAATCAATTAGCAGTGATCAGACCGACCAACCAACTTTCATCCGCTCAGTAATAAACACTAAGCGCATCATGATACGAGCAAATCAAGCATTCCCACCTTTTGTTTAACACGTGGACTTCTTGCTGTTCCATATGGCACCTATGGCGAGTTTTTCATTTTTTGTACATATTTGGTTGCCAGGAGTTGAGGCTGTGCACGTTGAATATAGCCCCCATTTCTACAAAAATGAGGTTTACACCACCAAAATTAATCACAACCAAGTGTGCTGGCTAAGCGCTCGTACCATTCGAATTTCCGCGGGTGACTTGGGGGAGCCATAAATCATATTTTTCGCTGGGATGGCAGTGTTACGGGATGTTCTTAATTCCGCCAAGCTGTTCGAGTCCATCCCTTCTCAAGCTGCTGTGCCGGTCGGTAGCTCCGAGTTCTTTGTAAGGCACCTAGCGGGCGTCCTGTCCCGGCCAAGGGACTGTCTGTTATGGGCGAGGAAGGGCGAGGAAGGATGTGCAGATGAGGTGTCAAGACAAACTCTGGGGAACGGTCAGGTGGAGGAAAACACCACTCGATCACGAGCTACTCAATGTTCTAATTGACTGTCCACCGGGGATTCAAACCAGAGTGTGAATAGGTTGTAATTAGTGGGTTGAGTTGTCGGCCACTCTGCTACTGGCAAGACAGATTACTGCAGACGGTTCAGTATTATGTGGGAACTGGATCCAGCCCAGGTGGATGGTAGAGGGCGCTATCGGAGAAAGTGTCGACAGTACACAGGCTAAAATGGTTTTGTTTAGATTTCTCCAGTCTCATAATGTAAGAAGCTGCGACAGTGGTGTTCTGCCTCTTTCCTTATTAAAAATAAACTTGCCTCCATTGAGGCAAAACAACCAAACTATGAACGAGTATGAATTTGGATAACTCACTGTGTAATGTGTGGTGCATGTGGTCCCTTTCCTGTTGCAGAAAATGCCTTATGTTCCGTGTTTGGAGACCCACATTACAGAACCTTCGATGGAAGACTGTACAACTTCCAAGGAACCTGTAAATATATACTGACCTCAGATTGTCAAGACCGGACATTTACCGTACGCGTGCGCAATGAAGGCAGGCAGACCAGTAGTTTTGCTTGGACCAGGACTGTCTTCATTACCATACTAGGTCACCGGGTCACGCTCATGCAGGACTACGCGGTGCGAGTGGACAAGCAGGACATATCGTTGCCGTACGAAATTCCTTCCACGTTAAGCATCCGAAGTGACGGATTTCTGATTCGGGTTACTACTGAAATAGGTAAGCCGTTGCGTGCCTACTTATGTTTACACTACACCCAAGACATCATATTAAAATTAACAAATGTTTCGTTTGTAATTTGGTCCGGGCAAAACAGGAATTTTTTCAGGAAAGTAGCCCGACATTTATACCCCCATTCAACAAAACTTGTCCTTTGCTTGGCGGGCACAAACGTTTCCAGTGCATGTACTGGTTGTGAAGTGCCGATATTTTCCGATGACGTAAACATATTGCACCCAACAGTATTATTGTGAGCGCAAACTGTCATAACCTTAGAACGCCAGACTTATGGACGTTTGCATTCTTTCTAAGAAAAATTCAGTCAACTAATGAAAAAAGAATTAAGAACGGGGCCTGATCGAAATCACTTGCTGTCACTGACACTACACTTCCGCTGTCACAAGGGTGAGGATAAGCGCTAATTTTGATTAATGGCCTCTGCAAAATAAAGGTCAGGCTAAGTCAGACGAATGCAACTTCATTTCTGGCCCCTGGGGTACGCCCCAGTGTTGGTTTGCAATGCAAATGTTTTTTTTTCGGACTGTGTCTTTTCAATTGGACTAGCAAATGTTCAGTGATGGTATTGTCATTTCTGCACATGCGCATGCCGGACAAAAATGTCCAAACCTGTTCAGGTGAAGTACCGATAAATTTGTCAAAGATGTATACACGAATGTGCTGGCTTTAAGGCCAACAAGTGGAGTCAATTTTGCTTTGAATCAAATGACTTCTAAGAACAAAGGCAGAGAATTACACGTTTGTCTGCTACCCTCATGCGTCACGAAGTTCTCTTGTGCTTCTCTTGAGATATGAGCACTGATAACCGGCACTTCTGGCCGCACGATCCATGCACTATTTTCCAAGCCCAGTCACAAAGGCGTCGAACGTCACACTTTAAAGGCGAGGTTCCATTTTCTGTACAATTATAGTCTGGTGTACGAATCTGTTTGCGATTTTAATCCAGGTCTTGAAGTCGCTTGGGACGGTGACAGCCTTGTTGAGGTGTCCTTACCCCCGACGTTCAAAAACAAAGTGTGCGGACTTTGCGGCAATTATAATGGCAACCGGCTGGACGATTTCCAACTCCGACACGGCGCGATAACGACCGACCCAGAGCTTTTCGCCGAATCGTGGGTCACTGGCAACAGGGAGAAATGTGCCAGGGCGCCCTCATCGACGCAGAGCGTCCCATGCGGCGACAATCCAAAGAGGCGATTGAGGGCTCATCGGGAATGCAATTCGCTGAGGTCTGCAAAATTCCAAAGGTGTGCAGAGGTTGTCGACATGTGGGTATATTACAGGTGAGCCATCGCATCTTTCTGCGAGTAACGCCAGAGAGTGCACTGTGTGTTTTCAGATTTTTAGATTTTTTCAGAGGTTTATCATTTTTAGCTTGTTTATCCGGAATTTCTGCCAAAGAAGCAAAGTTAACCTTACTTACACGTTGTTCAAAGTCACTCAACTACAACCAGGTCCAAGATAATTTAGAGTGAATTTGATCTGATTAAATTAATCAACTTAAGCTTCCACTTCGATTTTTCCTACCCCCTACCACTTCACACTTGAATAAGTTTCTGTTTAAATCGTTCTTCCAAATTTCAGTAGAAAATAGAGTGGCACTTTAACTTCAGAAATAAGAGAGCACATCCAGGATTATTATACCAGTTGTTAGCAGGGTAGAAACTGTAAAGGCATTGACAGAGCAGTGACTAATGTGTAGTCAGTAATGTTTAAGATCTTTCTCATTGTGGCCTCTAATTCAGGTCGTGTATAACTGACATGTGTGAGTGTCCTAAACACAAAGATTGTTCCTGTGAAGCGTTGAGGGCGTTTGTGAGCGCCTGCCAACAAGAGGGGATTGAGGTTGAACTAAACAGCACTTCATCGTGTACAGGTTTGTCCTGAAGTTGAATTTGAGTAGCACGCCGTCATTTGGTTGTGGGATATTGTGGTTTATTTATGATTTCCAAATACCTCGGACAGTCTTTCTATTTAGCAACGTGATATTTTGATTATGACATTTGATAATGTCCGCAAAATGCCCGCTGCGTAAATCACACGCTGGCACCTGGATACGAGTCAGTTTAATCGATTCTGATTGGTCGAGAGTCAGTGCGCTCGCGCCTTGCCACGCGCACGCCATGGAAGGAGATTCCATTTAACAACTTGCACATGGAATATACCATAAAATGGACAGGATGTTCAGGAAAATGAAACTAAAATGCTAGGAAAAAAGTCGGTGGAAATCCACTATATATCGTCTTCTTTGACTCTCTAACTAAAAAAGGGTATTTATGAATGGGAATAAGTATGTGGTTGGCCGGTCTTAAACTTACCGGCTTAGGAGAGTGAACGCTGATAATGTCCGAGCCGCAGTCGCTTCCATTCCTGTAAGCCGGTCTTTCACCGGCAAAGCACGGATTTATTCCCTTAGTAAACATGACTTAAATCAACGGATTGAAAAGTCATTAAAAATGGTTCCTTTATCTAAATGGGTATAAGTAGAGAGCATGTAGTCAAAACCAGAGGGAAGTAGGTATGTTTGATGAAGTATAATATACTGTGATACGATGTAACCAGGATTTTTCCCAGTTTGATGTCTCTGCAGTGACTCCTTATGTATTTAAATAGCATTGGGTATTTTTAATATTCAGTACAAACCTGTCCAGAGGGCGCTGTTTTCGATGAATGTGGACCGCCCTGCCCTCGGACATGCGCAAACAAGGACGAGCCGTTCCTCTGTGAAAGACCATGTGTCGCCGGCTGCCAGTGTCCTGCAAGGTTCGTGCTGCACAGAGATAGATGTATTCCAGTGGAACAGTGTCCGTGATATCTCCAACGCTACCTGTGTTGACTTAACTTGTTCAATAATGTTTTACATTGTCAAAATTATGAAAGATCTGTTTCTCTCTTACTGAATCAATTGCCATGCGTAGTAAACATCGCTCTTGAAGTAAGGCTACCCACTTTCGCAGTGAAGATGTCTCAGAGGACAGGTACCCCTGAGACAGTATCACCTTTAGTCTGTAGTCATTGGTACGTATCAATGTGACTTCCGCTCGTGTAGGGCGTGTTACATACATAATATGCCGTTTTGTCTCTAACAAGTATGCGCCCCCACAAACGTCTCTACAAACCGAAAGTCTTTGGTCAAAGGTCAAGAGAAAATCCAGGACTACCATGATTTCGAAATATGTACTTGTAATTAAAGGTCCAGCTTGGAAATTTATTTGTGACGGATCGAAGAATATGTGTTTTTTTACGATACATTTGACGTGCATGTAAATAGCCAGTATCATTTGGGCAAGTACGGATGACGGTTGTATAGTAAGAGCATCCTTTGTGTCTCTGACTTGTTTGTTGTCTTGTAACGTCCACATGCAAAGCATGCTCGTTTTAGTTAAGAAACTTCGTTTAAGACATGTTACTGTCAAGTTGCTGTGTTACCGGATGGCCTTGTCACCGCTTAATAACTTTGGATGGGATTGGCCTTGGCGTCCCCCGATTTCTATGCCCAAGAATATTGGCCGACCACACAGATGTTTGGTCGACATGTCGTCGCCGGGGATTTGGATGTAGACCTACATGTATATTCACATCCACAAATATTTCCTGAGTTTTCTTTACTGTTGGTTGTTTTGGTTGGTATTTTTCCTTTTTTTTTAATTTTCTTGGCCCTCCTGCCTTGAGGGGTGGCTTTGTGTTCTATTTTGTTATTTTGTTGTTGTGATTATTGTCGCTAATGGTGTCGCTGTTGTCATTGTTGTTGTCGTCACTGTTGTTGTGTTGGTCGTTGTTGTCGTTATCGTTGTGAATTTGATACTTTTGTACACTGTGGTGTTAAATTATCGCCAATAGCTTCTATATATGATAACAACGAGCTAATTTTGTCCGGCACAAATACCCAGGCTATGAAGTTTAAATCACAGTATTTGCAATGTCTATTCTGGTTCTACCCTAGTTTATGGGGATGTAGATTTCCTTTTATATAGACCCATATAATGGCATGCTTGAAACATAGATTTTTAGGATGTGTACCTTTCTTGAGAGACTTTATTTTGCAGTATTTCTAATGACATAATGAGGTAGGAGTCAGAAAATTAACCGTGTCGAGAGAACCGTGTCCTTTCGCATGACATATTCAGTGAAACTGAGAGTTTTAAGTAATTGGCTAATAACATTACAATGAATGCTGATGGATTCACAGTGACTCGACACTCCCGCTTTATCTGAACTTCAACCCATTCCTTTCAATCTTTGCGTATGGCCCATTGAGACACCTGACGTGCATTTTTATGCAGACCTCATAGCTGATCATTTTGGTATTGTGCAGTGTTGACTTTGACCCATTTGAACATTTCCGTGGCGTCAGGTGCACGTTGTGTTTTGATTGTTCCCGCGTGTCATGGCCCTAATGGAACAATTTACAAAAGCATAGTATAGGGAAACGACCCTTTGACCGCTTTGCATGAGGGGGGGAGTAATTTTGGCCCTATCAGACCCTGTCAAAAATCTTCCAACTGCCAAGCAGAAATTCAGAGGTAACGGCCAACTCTCATATACATGCATCTCTGTTTTGACAAGTCGTTTGATTTGTACTTGGCAAATTAATTTCATGAGCTAATATTCCGTATTATCTTGTCGAATTGGCACTTTTAGTCTGTGCAGAAATGAACGATCTTACCTGGTTTTGATTAAATGGAGCACCCACTATGCTTCTACTGCAATGCACTCTGCTTCAAGAACATAAACAGAAATCTTCATAGTGTCGAAACAGTAATGCTTGAAGTAAACTTACTATTGTACGTTGGGTAAAAATTGACCTGTATATAGCAATCAAGAAGCAGTGTCCTGTTTGTCAGGTTGTGTTACTCTTGTTGAGTCTTTGTTCGTGGTGGTTTTCATTTTCACGTGTTTTAATCATTGGAAACCTCAAAATTGAGATACCTCGAAGAACTTTGCGTTAAAACGAATAGGCCTGAAAGTCTGTATTTTGGTATTAGGGTGTTTTTGTTTTGGTATATCAGCCATTAGGTCGTATTAGGTCGTTGTTTGGATAACCGGTGAAGCCTTCAATATAATTAGCTATAAAAACAATGTTAATGTTTAAAAGTGAATTTTGTAAATTATTTCAACAAAGTTTGATGTTCTTCGGGCATACATTAATCAGTATCTACTCCAGCTAGTATGTGTTATATCATTGATCAACCCGGTATTTTGAAATTCAACGATTATCAACAAATTACTCGTCGGAATGTATTAAGTTGAATTTTGCCATATACCAGACTCTGGGTATTTGTGTATTTTATTGTATTCTGTTACATTGAACATGTTGCCAAATGTACAGCAATTTTTCAAGAGCTACTTTGTAATGTAATGAAGCTATACAACTGAATTGTTTTAGGTTATAGTGCAATATCAGTGTATTATAATGTGTTCATATTTCAATTTCCTAGATTTGAATATATTAACTGTAGATTTTACCGAAATATTTCAAAATGATAGCTGTTAAAGTATTCTGGAAGAAAAGGACTCTACATAAGAAATTCAATTTTCAAGCGTTATTACGTTTTTTGTAAGGGGACATGGAAGATCTACAGCACCACCGACGCCCGGCAGTATTGTTAACTCTGTTTAAAAGACCCTTTTTATTGTACAGTTGTCATTAATCATTATTTTAATGGTGGGTAGTCTTTGTATTGTAAGAAACGCGTGGAAGTATTCCATGATACAACAAGTTATTTTTAAGATAAAAATTCCCTGGAATATAAAACTATTCTGAATTAGTTTGCCTTTTACATCCCGGAACTCTTAAGGATTCTTTGCCTGTACGTTGATGGTTTTCTCGAATATGTAAGACCTGCAGTGCGTAGCACTCCTCGGTTATCTTCTTAAGCATGCGGTATAACTGTTCACAACCTTTAATTGGTATTTAATCGGTTGAAAATAATGTGAACAAAGATAGCACTGTGACACTAACCTCCCTGCTAGTCGGTCATTCGTTGCTTTTCGGCATGGGCATTCGAAATATACATGCGTTACCTTGCGGTAATCAGTCATTTCATTTGACACATCTGAAAGTGTAGAGAGACATTCGAGTCCTTCATTGCATTTAATTCAGCTTATATTTTCCCAGGCCAATGCATATTAAGTTATTCGCAGTATTTTTGACCAGTTAAGAAACAGTTTAAAAGGGTCTTGTATGTGTTTGGAATCATTTAGTATCGAGCAGTGAACTCAGTATGCCGTTTATTTAAAGTTGGTATTTTTTTGTGTTTGCATTGCATAAACCTGTCATGTTCGTTAATACATGTATCTATGTTTATACAAGGATGAACTGTTAAACGCTTCAATCTATTTTTTAAAATGTACCATTACGGGAGCAGGCGAGAAGACTGCTTTAAATACGCATGGTAGGAAAACAAAGTTGTTGCTAGGTGGTGTTAAATGGAAACTGGTCTGAGAGAAAAATGCTTCAACTGTAGGATTAGGATTGCTCTGAAATTTAGTGAAGTGTTCTCTCTGTTGCTTCCTATCAAAGGCAAATTACATATTTCTATCTGTGATATGTTGTACGGTTACTCGATTCTAATGTGTAATTGAATATTGTGAATCCCAATTGCGCAAGTATAAACTGTTTTAAACAAGTATTGTACATAGATGTTTTTATTTTTAGCGTAATTAAAACTTCCATATCTTACTGTGCAAGACTATAATTGTCGGTGTTGTGGTGTCAGAAGACTTGGTTTTCGCAAAGTCACTCTATAAATGTTGTTTGCTGATCATCTAGGCCTATAAATTTCTGTACTGGAGATCATGTGGATTATTTTGAGGAATGGAATTTTATATGCTACCCTATCAAAAAAGGAAATCCAAACTGAAAACTAGAAAAAAAGTTTTTCCATCTATTTTGTTCAAGTTCTTGCTTCCAGGCCATATTGACTTAGAAAGCCAACCACACACTTCGGGTTTTAGGGAAGGGGATGAGTGGGTGTATTTTTTTGACATGTTCTGTTGTGGAGGGAGGGAAATTGTCATTACGTTGAACTTCAAACGTTAAGGCTGACCAAAAAATCAGATTTCTGTCATCCCTATAAATTATGCATGAGTGTATCAACAGTTGACGATCTATGTGGATTTATGGCTATCGCTGCCTCCGTTTTGGTTTTGTTTACTTTTGTACCAATTGTAGCCTGGTGATCCCAACCTCTCGCACACACACGAGTACAGCAGTAGTCATGTGACTGGGGACGCAGATTTTTGGGTTCCTTCTAAAAATTGAAAAACCAGCTTAATACCGCAATAAATCGCCCTGATCCCGATAATCTTTAGCCCCCCCCCCGCCCCTCACCACCCCTGACCCTTCAACTGTCATTCACGATCGCTGGTTCAATGATCAAACCACCGTGAAGAAACAAGTCCCAACTCTTCGAGTTTGCGCCGGCCACTTTTTTTAGGACAAGAGTGTTTTGTTTTAATACATGCGGGGCGAAGAATTGAAACGAGTGGGCCAGTGCGGCGGAAGCTGCGCAGATCAATACATCGATTCATGCATCCTCGCAACCCAAATATTTCCATGAGCCTTTTTTTCCCCTTACCCAAGCCAGTATTTAACACGCATATGATAACCTAAGTGCGGGGCATCCATCAACCCCAGAGGAACCTGTCACGCGCGTTTCTCATCTCAAAGTCAGTGACAGGTGAAGAATTTGGGCGGTGGAAAATGCTTAGCCTAATTAAGCGGGCGGGAGGCGTTGTCTTGTTTGCTTTGACAGCGAAAAGACGGCAAACTCAATGCGCCCAGCGCTAATCACAGTTTGATGAATGAGATGGCCTGTTGCATGGGAGCTACAGACGCAGCGGTCCTCCAGGATCAAGACTAAACACGACAAGTTTTTTTTCTTCTGCTTCTTCTTCTTCTTCTTCTTCTTTACGAATGTTTGTACACGTCTGCATGGTACTTCCCTCGTCATGTCGCAAAGAACCGTACCAAATTTCCCTACATTATGATGGTCTTTACTGCAATGGTGATTCCCTCAGCAATAAAGGTAAATATCAACAGCTATTCTCCAAAAGAATGTCTTTTTTTCATCTCACTTCATAATTATTATTCCACGGGTGTCAATTTGGGCTCTTTGTTTCTCTTAGTCTGACCAAAAAGGTTTACTCACCAAATAAACCCAACCCCGGAAAGATTCATATTTCAAGCGAGCGAATTTGACGTCGAAAACATTTTCAGGGAATTCGCAAGATCTGACATTCGTTCAGCTTCAGCGAATCCGCAGCACGAAATATGTGATCTTATGTCATGATTCACGATTTGCACTCGTGTTCATTTTGGCGCTAATTACGGACTGCTCGTTTTTCTGTTGGATGATTTTACCGGAACGCGTCGCTACAATATGCCACTCGTCTACGCGCTACATTAAAACAGGAAGTGCTGTGGCCACGTTTTGACCACCTGTCGCACTTAAAACAGGCAGGTAGGCCTACTCTGGGTCTGTCGACTCAATCTTATTAAGGAGACTTCCAGATTCGATTGTTTAGTGTTCTTTACCGATGAGGTGATGAAATCTGCCGGGATGCAATGAAATTGGATTTTTTTTTTCAATCTCTACATATGCTTATGCATAAGTATATCAGCATTTAAAATTATCAAGTGATTTACCAATAGAATAAATGCTTATAATCAAACCGGAGGAATGCATACAAGTTTACAAACGTGTAAAAGACGCCATTAAAGGTCCGTAAAATCGAATGTCGTCCTAAGGAGTCCCACAGGGATACATAAAGGAAGCCGTTCATGTCGATAACTTTTCAGAATTTCCAGAATGTGTATATTTTCAAGGCATACCATAGACATAAGGCTTTCCTTTTGTCTCGTCCATGATTCTTTTCGGAGGTATGCCTTTGAAAGGGCAAGCCCGCTATAACCAGGTTTTCCCGCCATTCGAGATGTATTTAATTTGTTTAGAGCGTTTACACGATCCAATGAAGCGCACCAAGACTAGTGAACAGCAATATAATAACGACATATCAATCAAGTGCCCCAGGGTGACGGGGCAAGGGAGTGAAATTTCAGCGGAGATATTTCAGGTTTCCGTGAATTTGCTGTTCCCGTCTGTGACTCTGCCGTCGGTGCTAGGAGGAGTAATAATAGTACCTTTCCCGTCCAAAAAAAGCGTTTTCTCACCTTATTTTACAGTGAGCCAGATTCAACAGATATATTATACATTTTTGGTAGGTTTGTGATATTCTTCAGGAAAATATTTTACTAACACTTTGACAGCAAAGTGCCCTCTGTATATTGAAATAATCTCGCTTTTAGGAAAGAACATTTTAATCAACTGATATATTTTGAGCATTTGATTGATCTACTAAAAATTTTAAGTTGTTTTATCCCATGCGCATCTGGATATATTTTTATCAAAATGAGATTTTCCTTTCAGTACTAAGTACGAAATACCCACTGAATGAAAAGGCATACTGATTGAAATTTCCGCATTGTTCGTAAACTGACCAAAACGCTGCAGTGTAATTGGAACACCTACTGTAGTGTAAGCCGCTGCATTGTTAGATGCGTGTTGATGAAAAAATGCATTTTATTTACCAACATGCGCTTTTAAATGACCTAAAGTATACAGATGTTGTCAAGTATGATTTTCTGGTAAAATTAAGATAATCCTGGTTTTTATTGTATTTAGTTTAATTTTTGCCCTTGAAACCATGCGCCGAACACAAACGTTTTTGTTGACCAACAGTGACATCTAAAAATACTAATCTAACGGCCTGAAAAGTCTGAGAATGTTTTCATATTATTAAGTAGGTCATCGTCGATGATTAGTCATTAATCTAATAAAGGTCATTATAAATTTAAAATTGCTTGTTTTAAATTATTATAGACACAGTGATTAAGGAATGCGCCCAGTGAGTGAGATCATTAATTCAGGTGATAAGAGGCTTCCAAGTAGCATGAATAGATTAGTTATATTGTTTCTTCTGTTCTTCCTAGACGTTAGGGAGGCAAGTGATGTATTGATGGAGGAAGAAGAGGAGACAGAGCCCCTGGGTACGGAATGAGGCAAGCTTGCATTCGACCTGGTTTTTATGGCAAAGATTCGATGGAATCGCAGAGTCTCGGGGACAAAAGAGAAGAACTATGCCCAAGGACAAAAATTAGTCAACTTCATTACCAATAGTCAAGAGGTAACACCGATGAGTTGTTTTTGTAATGAGAAGGGAAAAAAAAGATCTTGCATGAAATCACGTTGGTGTGGTGAAGCGTGCGTTGTTGCTGGTAGCAAGTTTCCGCGGCTGTGCCATCGACCTCTGTAGCAAGAAGAACAAGAACATGATGGTCCTTTGTTGTGTAAAGTAGGGTTTAAGCAGTGGTGTGATTTCTTTCACTCGAATAATGGACTGATTAAAATGGCCTTCATTTCAATGTCTTTTTTCATTCATATCAGGTCATAGGCGAAAGATAGGTAGAGAAGTAAACCAGTGTTTAACTAAGAAGAATCATCTCTCACCACAAGATGATAATTTGCTTCCAATTAAGCTTCAAATTTATTACACCCTGGGCCCCCTAGCTCAGAATTTTGAATCACTTTCCCACAATTGTTCTTTTACAATGTCAGGTTGGAAACCTCTGAACATGAAGTTTATTACATACTTAGGAGTCATGCATGTGACCTGTTTCAAACCACGAGGGCTATTTTGTCATCTGTTAACTCTATTAAACACAGAAATAAATAAAAAATAGGATATTGAAAAAATTACGGGGATAGGGAACATGTCCCCTACGCCTGGGATCAACCCCTACGGAAGGGAATCCACTCTGCCCGTACATTCAGTAGCTCTATAGTATTTAGCGAAGTCAGGGCAGATTTTCGGGGGAATGTGGGCCCAACGATGGCCCATGATGCCTCTGAGATTATGTCAAAGATGTCTCTCCTGTCACTGTTTCGTCAGGTTCGGGAGCTGCATGTGGCGTGCTCATTACGAGTAACCGGCCACAGAACTTCCATTGAGGCCATGAGAGCCGGCAAAAAAGCTGCAGAAGAGCTTCCCCTTTTTCAAGATTTCCCGGATTCCCTGCATTTCTTTCCTAACACGAATCGACAGTTAACGCTGCTTCGTAGGTTGATACAGGTTTGCTTTGCATTGTGTCATCCGAATGCAGTTGTCCTCAGACACTGAAGAACCAGACTCACACCAAGCATCTTTATTATAGGAACCTGACTTAGTAAAGCCTTGAATACAGACAGAATCGAACACTAGCGAGATATTAAGAAGTCATTGGGTAAGCTTTTCGTTTATTAATAATTAATTGGTTCCGTTAATTTGCACCCAGCTTTTATATGCATTTTCCCAGATTACTACAGGCAGGCTGCAAATTCGGAGCTTGACTTTCTCAAATTCTGTATCTTTTATATGGTCAAGTTGTGCTGTAACGGTGCTGTGGTGGAATTCCTTCCCAGTACCGTTTTATTTGCGAAATAGTGCACGAATTTGTTGTAAACAACGCCAGTAAACATGGACAGCAGAGACTCAATTCCTCGATTTGTTCGTTTATCAAAAGTATAAAATGAGGCCCTTACCCAACAAACTAGATTCTGAGCATACGTATTCTGTACAGAATACATAGCAAAGATCTCAAAGTTCCTGAGGACGCATGGCGTCAACACAAAATTATCTTCTCACTTTGT